AATTGAATAATAGTCATAATATTATCATCTCAAAGTTACTAAATTGACAATTGTTTGATATCCAGTTACATATTATAAAGAAAATCTCTAAGTTACTAAGACGTCAAGTTTTATCCATTGTTTGATCCAGTTACATAGTATAAAGAAAGAAAAAGGCCTACATATACTTTGGATTTTTTTTTGACATATATACCAACACTATTATTAAATTTAATTGCAAAAGATATCTACTTATCATGGGTTGTTTATTACACATATTAAGTAACATATTTTTGTATTTCCAATTTTTAGAATAATATTTACTAATAAGTAAATAATTTGTTTGCTAATACTATTTTAAAATTAATTTTAATTATTTTAAACATAGCATAAAAGAAAATAAGAAAAAAATGATAAAACAGAAAAGTAATTAATCATATACAAAAAAATAAAATAAAAAGATAATTCATTCTATATTTTTCTTCTATGCATTTTCAGTTTCTCCAATTTTTAAAATAATACATTTACTAACATAAGTAACAACAATTTCATTTATATTAGTGAACGATATAATTGAATATATATATATATATATATAAAGAAAAACAGGAGAGTAATTAGCCGTAAATGCAATTAGAGATGTAAATAATGTAATTGAAATTATTTTCAGAAAAATAATTACCACAAAATGCAAGTCATAAATAGAATTGTAATCAGATTTTAAAATTTATGTGATATGTTTTTGCATTCTTATTTGAATTCTCTAGAATAATATTTAGTAATTTACTAATATAACTAGTGAATGATATAATTGAATATGGATCCAATTTTATAAGTAGGTTACAAACTAATATAATTAAAATATAAAAAATTATTATCTAATAGAAGCTCATATGTAAAGATGGATCCAACAAATTCTCTCTCTTTCTATAACTCTCTATAATCAAATTTTCCAGTTTAAAATTGCAAATTTATTTTAGTAACTAATATTTAATACACGTGTAACACACATGAATATCACTAATCGATGCGTCTTATGAGTTTTTGTTATCTATAATATATTATTAAGCCAGAGTTAAGAGGTGGATACGTATTTTATAGAAGCCGTAGGAGACATTCCTCTCTTTTAAGAGGAGAGACAGATACGGTGAGTAAATCTATGGGTGAATAAATTATTATCATTCAAGGGCTCTAACCTTTGAAAATAGTACGTGCTACTTAGAAGCGTATTGTGTCGTTGAAATAAATAAAAAATGGGTGAGAGAAATATATGAAAACATTCCGAAAATGGGTGCAGAGAGAGATAAGTGCTACTCCTTGGAAACCTATTGTGTCCTTGAAATAAATAAATAAAAAGGGTTTCGAAAGCGATAAATGAAAACATTCCTAAAATGGATGCATAAAGAGAGAAACAAATGAAAACGTTCCTGAAATGGGTGCGTCCGCTTTAATATTTGAAATTAGTGCGTGTTACTTCTTACAAACCTATTATATCCTTGAAATAAATAAAAAACTTTCTAAAATGGGTGCATAGAGCTAGTAATAAATGAAAACATTCCTTAATTGGCATAAAACTTCTATACCTCCCCAATCAAACCGTCCCTTCTAAATGGACGGCTTAGATGGCCCAAATCATAATGTCACCCTTTATATCATTTTACTTTTATTTTTATTTATTTTTTTATACAAAACATTTATTTGAGAGTTCAATCCTCTCTTGAACTTGTACCTATAAAAAATATTAAAAAAATATTCTCAATAAAATAAAATATTCAATACTATTCTCTAATTTAATACATTATCTCATAATATTTGTATCAATTAACATATTAGTAATAAACATTTTGATGAAACCTACGAAGCAGGTGCATCGCACTAGTACAACATAATACAATAAGGCATACTTAGGCTTATAACACAATACTATTAGAATAACCCTGTAATACAAAGGAAAAGTATATATTGAGAACATTTATCTTTATTACAAGGTGGTCACAATTGATCTTGACCATTGGATGTGAAATTGAGTGGCTGCATTTATTTTATTGACGAAACTCAAAGTTCAAAAGAATTTTTCTCGAATTTTATAACACACCTATGCTATCAGATTCACATCAGATAGTTGTAAGCAATTTTGACCTCTCTATACCAATGGTAAATGGTCTCATCGCATAAAATAGGTCTCATTGTATAAAATCCCAATAATACAATGGTAAATGGAACCTGCCAAACTTATACGGAAGCCACATCTATACATATACCAAAGTCGTGCTTTATATTAGAAAGTTAATAACTTGAACTTTGCCAAACTTATAACAGAGCTATTATTGAACCACACGAATGCACTAAGCGAAGTTGTGTTTTGTATAAAGAAGAAACGTCGGTAAGAACTTTACCTTATGTGGGTAATAAATTACCTTTATCTAGGTAATGTTTTACCCCAATGGAATTAAAATTATACTGCCTTTTGCAATCAATTTTCATTTGCAGTGTTTCAAGTATCAATCCGCCAAGAAACCAATTGGGGATCTTGCAAACGGAGGGACCACATTTTTTAAAAAACAAAATATGAATTGAAAAAATAGAATATATTAAAAAAATAAAAAAGAATAATAAAAAACTCAACTTTGTTTACCAATTCGATAGTCAAATTATTTTGTTTGACCGATCAAAACAAGTCAAACATTAGTTTGAATACATCCAACTATCGTTTTGGGTGAAACCAATGATTTATAATTCAGTGGGTGTTTCGAATCAGAATCCATCCCTAACGCCCATGTTCCAGGCCGAAACCAGGTAATGGTCGGACTCAAATGGATTTCCTCGGTTTTGATTAGCAAATAGGGAATTAGGCAATCCGGATCTCCAATTCGGCTGACTTGCCTAGTTCCCAATGATTGTATTTTTAGTATCTTTTTCCTATCTCTCATTCTTTTCAATTTTTTTTTTATGGACCGATTCGCCTACTAGAGAATTGGTCCGATCTATGGATTTGTATGGGAGATCTGCCAATATAGACGGGATTTTTAAAAGGCTAGTTCACCGTACCGGTCTGATTTATGAAACATGGTAAAACCCAGTGACCCTACTGGGCAGACCAGGTAGTCCAGCCAAGTCTTGATAACAACATAAATAATTAATATTAGGGGCCGCTAATCAAAAACCTTTTCATGAAAGTAAGGCACGTGGGGGTTAAATGTCAGAAAAGTAGTGAAACAAATTTCATGGCATAGAAGGAATTTCCAAGGAAGAGAGAGTAGGACCAAAAAAACTGACCTCAGGGTCCCTTGGACTGAAGTCTATGGGGGTGGCAACATGGAAAACGCCATGGCAGCCCTTAACAGCTTCATCAAAGCTTCCCTCCTCACCAAGCTCTGCTTTCCACAGCGTAAGTCTCTCTTTCGCCTCCGGCAAATCAAGAAGCGGCTTTACCTTCTTCATGTTTGCTTATGAAATCATCGTCCCCAATAGAGTCAATATATCATGAATACAAATGGAAGCACAAAGATAATCTCGCATCTGAATGAAACTATTCTAAGCTCCCCTCTCTCTCTCCTTCTCATATAGGGTGGCAATGGACCAAGCTAGATCCAAGACCGAAGAGTATATCCGACCTCAGGATCGGGTATGGGTCCAAATTTTAGACTCGAATACTATTTTTCTCTAGGTCTGGTCTAGCCTGACCCCACCTATACCTGTGGTCATAGGATATATGATGGCAATCATGTACCTTTTAATACACCTTGGGTGTTCATATTGTCATAATATTGCAAAATTTACAATATTATTAGCAAAAAAAAAAAGTTCATAGTTATAAGATATATAATGGTATAAAAGGGCAAACAAAAAAAAAAGACCGATAGTCATAAGGTGGACATGGATCTACCGGACCTAGGACCCGACGCATAGACCCGAGACTTGATAGGTCCGTGTGCGAGTCCAAATTTTGGACCCGGCCACTAGTGCAGCTGAACCCAACTCGTTGCCACCCCTATTCTCAGAGTTCGATTCCAACTATTCTAACCACGTATCTCTCACTCATTTTAGGGAAAGTTTTCCATGTAACCCCACCTATATATATATAGTATATGGTATCTCTAATCTCAACCATCAGATCAGAGTAGATTGATGAGATGGCTTAAGCCACAATATTACAAGCTGGCTCTTAACCGTTAGATCTTGATCTAATATTTTTTATTTTTTTTATTCTATAAATCATTTTGAAGCAAACTTTAAGGCACACATTGATGCGATAGGGTCGTACATGATAAAAATAATAAAAAAAAAAATTTCAATGATAAAAATTACCATAATATACTTGAAAATTGTACGGACATTACGGCTATTTATTTTTCTGGGAATATTTGTTTCTTATTTTTTTTCAAGCTCGGCCTTATTTTATAATGGGATATCCAAAATTTCATCCAAAAATTTTTTATAGCAAAAACAATTAAAAATAAAAACAGTGTTTGATATTATGGCATGAACAATCAAAGCATTTGATTCAGATTGAATGGCTAAGAAGTGGGGTCCTATATAACTTATACGTTGTTGTGTCTCTTTAGAATAATGGTCAAGGAGACAGTTTCATGTGAAACAGGTCTGAGTCATTGAATAAGCGTTCTTTGTGGGTAGATAGAATGTTTTTATAAACCCAACTTGTGTATGTAAATTTCAATAAAATTAAACATGCCATAGAGCTGCCCTCCTTTGCGAATTGGATTAAACTGAATATTTATGGATCATAATCCAAATGCAAAGGTAGGTTTTGAGGGAGGTTTGGAGGGCCATGAAGGGAAGTTCATGGAAGCTTTAAAATTGTTTTCTGGTTGGAGGTAATACACACAAGGAAAACCATTCTCTAAGGCACAAGTTGATTATGATTTGATTGGCTTCATGTGTGAGTTGCGCGATCATCTGGGTCATAAGTTTAAAAGGACCAATAGTGCAACAGATTCAACCTTTTAGAAAATGAAGGGGCAGAATGGCTGGGTTTACTTTCATTAGGTTAGCTTGAGAGAGAGAGAGAGAGTTGTATTAGGTGAAAGGTAAACCTCTTTTACAAGTTTTTACCCAAGACTTTATGGGTTTTCAGCCTTTATTTCAAATTCCCCTTAAACAGATTGCACTGTTGAAACATGTAATTTAAAAAAAAAAAACCAAAGAAATGGCAATTAGAAAAGTTTTGGGTGGAAACTCCTCTTATCATCCTCATGTCCTCAACCCTCTCTGCTCTGGATTTCCCTTTTTCATCTTCAAAACCCAGGCCCTTCCAAACCCTCTCTCTCTCTCTCTGTTTCCTTGTACATTAAATTGAAGGAAAATAAACAGAGGAAGGAGGGAGAGTACCAACTGGTACATAAACGAAATGAAATGAAATCAAAAGCTTTACAATAAAGAGATAAGAGAAATGGAATAAAGTATTAAAGCAGAGCTGAATAAGACGCTAAAGATTATTGAGAGAGAGAGAGATTTACTTGGGTCGCGGACGGTGGCCCTGACCGTGTAGCCCTCCTCAAGAAGCCGCTTCACTAGCCATGATCCCAAGAATCCAGCCGCTCCCGTTACACACACCGTGCCTTTCTCCTCCTCAGCCATGTCTCTCTCTCTCCGCTTTCTCTCTCTAAAAACCACCTCCTCCCCCTCTCTCTCTGTAATGGATATGAGATGAGTGTTGAAAACTCTCTTTCTCTCTCCAAAAACGTCCTCTCTCTCTGCCCCTTCCTGTCTCTGTGCAATATATTGTGAGATGAGAGTTGGAAGCAGGAATTTGATGGATTTTCCCGGGTTTCGAGTTTAGTCGGTGGGTTTGGGTCAAAATGATGGAGCTTTTGAGGAGAGGAGATTGGTAACAGTGCCCTTCCTTTTTACAGAAGGGTGTGGTTTGTATAGAGCCTAAAACAATCCAATTAGAGCCTACCTTTAGATAGTGTCCTTTAGATAGTGTGAGAGATGTGGTTTAAACACTGGAAATCTCTGCGATAGCTTTAAGATAAATTTTTATCTTTATTTATAAATTTAAAGTTTAAAAAATGGTGTAGATAGGCATATCTATGAAAACTTGTAAATATTGAAAATTGATGTTCAAAAAATGTATTACAAAATACATTATTTTTAAAATTTGAAATCAATTTTTTTTCTTAAGTCCATACATCTTGATGTCAAGATAATCAATTTAAGATTTTTTAGATATCAAAATAATCTCGTTTAATTAAAATTTTGAGGTAGGCTCGAATGTGATTGTTTAAAACCTCGGCTCTACGTAAACCTTGCCCTTTACTGGAATCCGCCTAAACCTCCTTACTTTTCGGTTTTTTTTCTCGTTTTATATAAGTGAATGGCATTACCGAAAGTGCCACGATGCCTTTTGCGTAGAAATTAAAAAAAGCCGCCGGTGGCCCATGACTCATCCTCAATCACTTCCAACTTATTTTATAGGATGGGTTTTTATGAGTCACCCCTTATTATTCATATGCAGCCTGCGTCTAAAATTCATGTCAAAAGTGGATTTTTAATTTGGAAAAATGCAAGCTGGACCGCATTTTTACATTCACCAAAAGTATATAGCAGAATAGGTGATTTATCTAAAAATAATTAAAATAACAGTGTAAATATTTTTTAAATAAAATTATTATTTTTAATTTTTAAAATTTTATTTATATTTTCATATTCATGATCTCCATATGTTGGAGATTACATGCGCTTAAAAATTAAGTCCAAACATGCATCTCAAAAATAGATTGATCGAGGGCCTCATTTCTACATGTGCAAGTATGATAATCGTGTCTTTTATTTTTAGCAATTCATCATCTAATGCAAGCTGATCATAAATATAAAATAAAATAAAAATAAATAAATAAGTTTTAAAATGTATTCTTTTTTAGGATAATTTTGACAGGATTCACATCTGATTTGACCCATTGAGCTCTTACTCAACATTTTTCCATTTTTTTTTGTAACAATTTTTACCATTAATGACAACCACACATGTCCATATATATACACTTATGTTCAAATCAAGAGAGTTTATCGAGAATAATGGCCTAGGCCTTGGTAGTAGTATTGTGAGAATAATGGCCAAGACTTTGGCGGTAGTATTGCTGATTATCATACTGACGTCTCCAACCCTATTCTCACAAAAGGATAAGGGCTCAAATCCCTACTAACATACCACTTTTAGATTAGTGCTTCCATTTTCATCTTGTCATCCCCATTGAATTACCCAAAAAACACAAAAAATCGGGAGAGTTGGCTTGTCATCCCCATTATATTACCCAAAAAACACAAAAAATTGGGAGAGTTTATGCTATGGATTAGTTTGTACGTATTCATAATCACTCATAATTTATTATCTTAATAAGATTAATCATGACAATGAGTTATCTAATAGGGTTATGCTAGGATGCTCACACTATAGAGTATTTTATAATTATATTCAAAAAATTTTGGACATTTATATACGCTCGTTTCTTTACATGGATCAGTTTTTTAGTAAGGGTATTTTTAGTCATTAAGAGGGATGTGACATCATGATATCACTCACATGAAGCATTAATGTCAGTGATGTCACAGGAGTGTGATAACCTTTCTAATGACTAAAAATACCCTTACTGAAAAAATGATCCATGTATAAAACAATGATATATTAAATGACTAAAATTTGTTGAATACAATTATAAAATGTTTTATGGTTTGAGCACCCTAAGCTAACCCAATATTAATTGTTTTAATATTAAAATTTGGTATATATTTTAACACGATCAAATGAGTACTTTCATAAAAATAAAATTGAATTTTGAGTTTTAAAACACTTGAACACGATCATCAAAAAATCTAATGGGTGTTTAATATAATATTCGAAGCCACTACTCAGGCCAAGTACTCGGCCCAAGTACTAGGCCCATGCCCTATCTGAGTACTCAGCCTGAAACTGTTGCAACAAAAAAAATTGTTAAAAAATAAAACATTACAAAAAATCAAAAAAATAGGAAATGTGTATATAGAATAAGATTAAGCAAAATACATATAAATGATTTTAAAAAAAAGTAGTAGATAAATAGATCTTGAAAAATCAATTTGTAATGGGACTATCTTCGAAATAATCTAAAAAAATATAAAAATTAAGTATTCATGACCAAAACACTTTCCAATTTTTGTCAAAATGATAGAAAACATTAAAAAAAATCACAAATATATTTTTTTTTTGAGTTTTTTGTGATTTTTAAAAATTTTAATATTTTTTAAAAAAATTTATAATATCCCCAAGTGGGATACTTAATATCACTTCTTTCAAACACCGGTTTAACCTTATCAAACACTGGTTTAACCTTAATATCACTTCTTTCAAACAGATATAAGGGAATGATTTTCTAAGGTTGGCCACTGTCTTGCATTCCAAAAATTTATGCATTGAAAATATTGCCAGCTAAATGAGGAGGTGGATGCGCATTAAGGTCTGCCGGGGTCAATTTTGGGGTTCTCCTTTTGCATGTTTCTTCAAGACAAGCCGGTCCTATTACGTAACATCTTGAGAAAATGCTATTTGGGTTTTAAGTTTTTGGGTTCGTATGGAAAATTTAGTAAGTGAAACAAATGAAAACCTAACATTTTGCCATAAGCATTCAAAGATTTTGCTGCTTTTCCTACCCTTTTTTTTTTTTTTTTTACCTAAGCTTTAATTTTTTATTAATGATTACGAAAAGAAAATTACATCATCAGAAATCACAAAGGAAGATAGCGAAGCCCCACCTTAGCTAAAGCATCAACTACCGCATTTGCTTCATGATAGACATGGGAAAAAGAGATAGATAACGACATAATCGCATCCATAATTTGTAACCATAAAGAACGGAGTTTCCACGACACTTTCGGCTCCTTGTTGTACCATCTAATCACATTCAGCGAATCCCCTTTAATCATGCAACTAGTACCTTTGCAATGAAAATTTTCAATCCCCTAAGCAATGCACTCAACTCAGCAAAATTGGCAGTTGCAATACCTATCCGACCTGCATATCAAGAAGAGCCCTACTAAAAGTTGGCAGATCGATCATATTAGTAATATGATCGATATGATCATGAACCTTGAGAGAATACAAAGACTATGATAGGAACAGTTAATGTAAAAAAGTAAATAAATAATAAAAATGCCCAATGAGACCTGTTGTCTCTATCACAATCCAATTTATTGAAAGGAGGATGATAACATGTTATTGTGACCATAATATAAAAAATTATTTTTTGAATATTATCTTTTTTTTTTAAGTCAATAACATGTCATTCCAATTAAAGAACCACAGATTGAAAGTTCGACTATGTGATAAAACATGGTGTATATAAATTTAAATTTTTCTTTCCTTCCATCGACTAGATTACTTAAAATGTCCAATTACAAATAAAAACTCTCTTAAAATAAATAAGCAAAAACAATTCTTACTTGCTACCGCTAAAATTAACTCCTTTATTCAATGAATAAACTTGACACATTATTGAATGAGAATAGAAGAGCACATTAAAAGAAACAAAACAAAGCAAGTAAAGTTGTCGGAGATTACTTCAACTGAGCTTAATACGGTCCACACCGAGTCTTCTCCTTCAATGATACTCGAGATCAATGATCAATCTCGAATCTACTAAGTATGACAAATCATCAAATAATGAAAGCACATGGAACTATCTTGAACCAAAGTGCTAAGGTATTAATGCAGTAGCCTACCTTAAGCCCTTTTGGCTTAACCCCTTTCTACTTTCTATCTATGAGAGAGAAAGTATTTCTTAAGTGGGGCGTGCCCCTTAGAGAAAGAAAGAGAGAGTAGAGAGAGAAGGGAGAGAGAAGAGGTGTAGAGATTTAGGGGAGAGGGGACTCATATTTATTGATTTTTTAATGCTTAGGGTTTGTCATCTCTAGACTATTGACATTAGAAGACTTGGTGGTTAGAGATATGAGTCAGCAATTCTTTAAGTCCACCATCAGAATTCAAATGAAGGTATTAGAACCTTATTCTCTTTTCCCATCAAATATTCAAATACAAAAAAAAAATCATACTTTCTTTTTTTATGGATATTCAATCCATATTCATATAAATCATACTTTCTCTTTTTATGGATATTCAATCCATATTCATATAAATCCATAAACTTATTCAATCTATATTCATATAATCCATAAACTTATTCATACATCCATAAACATATTCATATAAATCCATAAACATATTCAAATCATAAATCCATACATTCTCTTTTTATTTAATTCATATAATCCATAAACACATTCATATAAATCCATATAAACATATTCATATAAATCCATAATTCATATAAACATATTCATATAAATCCATAAACGTATTCATATAAATCCATAAACTTATTCAATTCATATAATCCATACATTCTCTTTTTATGGATATTCAATCTATATTCATATAAATCTACAAACTTATTTCCATCAAATATTCAAAATACAAAAAAAAAAATCATACTTTCTCTTTTTATGGATATTCAATCCATATTCATATAAATCTTTAAATAGTCAAATATCTTGATTCACAAGAATATCATAATTGATTATCTCGATTCCTTATGCATGGAGGTTTTACATAAAATGGAAAGTCAACTAGCAAGGAGGTGAGAGATGTGAATCATTCATTCCTTAGAAGACTTGTGGAGTAAGATATGTGAGTTATTCATTCATTAAATCCACCATCACAATTCAAATGAAAGTACTAGAACCCTATCCTCCATTTTTTAAACTTATTCCTATCAAATATTTCAAATAAAAAAAAGAAAATCATACTTTCTCTTTTTATGAATATTCATTTCATATTCATATAATATTTAAATAGTCAAATATCTTGATTTACATGACATTCCATAATTTATTATCTTGATTCCTAATGCATGGAGGCTTTGCATCAAAATGGAAAGTCAACTAGCAAG